GGCCGCCCCGGGGAGCCCCTGGCCGCAGCCTCAGCCGCTGGCGACGCGGGCTGGCCCAACAAGCACACGCTGCGGATCCTGCAGGACTTCAGCTCCGACCCTTCCTCCAATCTTACGTCCCACTCGCTTGAGAAGCTGCCACCCGTGGCTGAACAGGCTGAGGGCGCCTTGCAGGGGCAGGATCCCGGTGTCCCGCCACCCCAAGACCCTGCTCACCGGCCACTGCTCCGAGACCCTGGCCCACATCGGCCGGAGGCATCCCCTGGCCCGAGCGGGGACGGCGCCCTCCTGGCCAGGCTGTTCCAACACCCCCTGTACCAGGTTGCCGTTCCGCCGCTAACGGAGGACGACGTCCTCTTCAATGTGAACAGTGACATCAGATTCAACCCCAGGGCGGCGGCGGCGGCAGAGAACCCTGACTGGTGAGTGAGGCAGGGCCTGCTGGCTGGTGTGGTTGCTGGCAGGACGGGCCCTCAAGGCAGCCGTGCGCCTTTTGAGAGCCAAGATCAACTCAGGCCCCTTCCCAGAAAGGGCCCGTCCACGTCCCAGACACCATGTGAAGAGGCCCCGGGACCCCAGGAGGGCGTGGACCCTGCGGCAGAGGCTCCAGGGAAGGGAGGTTTGTGGGGCAGGCAGCATGCCGGCTCAGGCACTGCCTTTGTTTCCAGAATGCCTTCCTCCCCAAGGGCTGCTGGGTGGTGTGGGAGCTGCTCCCTGTGGCCACTGGCCTGGAAGGCAGGCCTGGCAGGCGGGAGCAGAAAGGGCCGGTTCTGCATTTACAGGAAAGCAGTGCTGGCCTGCCAGGCCCTGGTTACAGGCTCACAGAGGGAGTCAGGCTGTGAATGAAAGAGCTGGGGGTAGTGAGTGACAGGCTGCCCCAGCCTTTCCTTGGGAAGCTTCTGGCTTTGGTGACATGGCTCTGGTGGATGCGTCAGAAAAGCCTGGGGAGGCCAAATGAGCCTTGTAAACCAGTCACTGAGAACAAAATTAGCAGAGGGGCGTGCTGGTCCAGTGACGCATAGCTGAGGGGTTCTCCCAGCCAGGGTGCAGACAGTGCCAGCTTTTGTGGGTGGGAACAGCTTCCTAAACAGCGAGTAGCCTCTCCCGGGAGTATCTTTTTAAACTGTTTCTGTTTAAACCCCTACCCCCAAGGCCCTCCTCTGCCACACAGATCAAAATAAACAGATGCTACAGTCCAGGGTGGTGAAACGTTAACTAGCAGCAAGGCCAGAATAAATAAGTACCTGCAAAAGGTTACCCAAGCAACAGAGGGGAAAGGCTAGGTTTCCAAAACCTCCCCTAAAACCCTTTCTCCTCCGCAGTTGGACCGGCCTGGTGTTTTCCCTCTAAACACATCAAGGTGTGAGCTTTGTTGGCTGGCCAGGTTCAAGGTAATACTCAGAAACTTGAGAGGCAGAGCAGCGGCTCAGATCTGGGCCTCTTTGTAGAAGAGACAGAGCCCAGAGCCGGTGGTCAGTGATGGAGACCGAGGGCGGCTTCTAGTGTCCGCTGTGCGGCAAGACGTGGGGCCGGACGGCCTCACTTGCATGTAAATTAGAACTAAGATAGTTCACTTTTTCCTCCATCCCAACAGCAAACAGGGTCTGTCCTCCCTCAGACTGGTCCCTGGGCTCCCTCTGGACAAGGCCAGGCCACGTGGGCAAGAGGTCCTCAATTTGGGCCTTGGCTGGAGTGAGCACCACTTTCCTGTCTCCCCACCCGAAGCCACTTCATTAAAATCAGATTTAGCCTCTTGCATCATTCCTACCCTGGTCGTTGGAACCGAAGCTGGGTGCCCAGTGAGACTTCTGCCAAACACGGCTCTTCTGCCCCCAGGAAGCCGGCAGCCCCTCGAGCCCCAGGCTGACATCATGCTTGTTTTGGTGACCCCAGGACAGACATGGCAGGCCTAGCCCTGACGGTCTGCTTTGGTCTGCTTTAGTTATAGCTGTCTGTGGCGTCTCCCGAGACTAAGTGAAAATTACCTGCCTGCAGGTCTATTATTAGTTGGCAGAACAGCAGCCACAGGGAAAGTGCGGATGCTGCAGGTCCTGTTTGAGTTGAGGCACCTTTGAATAAATCTGCTTTTGTTTGGCTCCAAAGTGAAAATCTTGCTCAGCACCAGCTCCCCCGTTCCTCAGACCCTGCTGACCCTGGGCCACTTCACTTCTGCAGGCCACACGAAGGTCCTGAGGATGAAGAATTCCTGCCTACAGGGGAGGCGGCCGTGGACTCCTACCCCAACTGGCTCAAGTTCCACATCGGCATCAACCGCTACGAGCTGTACTCCAGACACAACCCTGCGGTGGATGCCCTGCTGCGTGACCTCGGCACCCAGAAGATCACCAGTGTCGGTAGGCGCCCTCCCCAGGCCTCCCGTGGGGCCAGGGTGGCTTGGCTGGCTCTCCGTGCTGGAACATCGCCTCCTGGGCCACTTATCCCGACAGCCTTCCAGCGAGGGCGCCTGAAGGCCTTCCGTGCGATTAGCAGCCCATGGGGGGCTGCCTTCTGCTGTTGCAGGATGAGTGAAGGAGGGAGGGACGTGGCCCAGCCTGCCTTGTTGTTCTGCTGGGCTGGGGGGCACACAGGACCCCTCTTGGGGGAGGAAGGGCACCCCTGATGGCTGGAGCTGGCCCCAACACAGCCAGGAGACCCCGCGGAGAGCCCCGAGGCTTCTGGTAGTTGGGGCAGCCCTGCCTCAGTGCTCGCGAGGCACTCCCGAGATCCCACGTGGACGGGGGTGACTGGGGCTCGGCTCTGCCCAGGGTGTTGGAGGTGAGGTCTCTGAGTGCTTTGGTATCTGCTGAATTAGACCAAAAAGGGCAGCCAGTTACCGATTTCAGGAGAACGTGTCAGCCCTGGTTTCTGAGCAAGGAGGTCTGGTGCTGTTATTCTCGGGCCTGTAGGTGGTTTTTTGTGTAGGTCCTCATTAGTGACCAGTGGGGGAATGGTCCTGGGAGCCGTGGAGGGTGGAGGGTGGCCCTGGAGCATGGGTGCTGGGGCAGGCAGCTCCAGGCACTGTTCTCCTGGCATCTGGGCAGTCCTGCTGCTCAGGGGGCTCTGCTGACTGGGTTCTGTCCCTTCACTGATGCTGGGGAGCCGGCCGTGGCCTGAGGGCAGGCACCTGGGTTTTCCAGAGCTCTTTGGAAGCTGTACTGGGTGTCTCTGCCTGGTGCACCCACCTTCTCCCATCACGTGGCTGCTCCCCCTCTGAGAGGGACTGGTGGCGCAGGGCAGTGTCTCCCCTCCTTGCTGCTGCCCAGGCAGAGTCTGAGCGCCTCCCACCCCAGCCCCACCCGGCCCTCCTCCTGCCCCTCGCGGAGGCCAAGCTGGGAAGCCGTCTGTGTGGACGCTGGGAATTATCCGGTAGATGCCACAGCTGGGGTGTCCCCTTGTTCCGAGCACAGACGAGGCCGTTACAAAGTCGTCCAGGGCAATGACCATCCGCTGTCCATTCACAAGCCTTCTCAAGCACCTCCTGCATCTCAGGCCCCTTTCTGGGTGTTGGGAGTTAGGGGTTCTGAGAGCCCCAGGAGGACAGGACAGGGAGCACACACTGAGGTACAGACAGTCAGGACCGACCAGCGGGGAGATGACCTCTGCCTCGAGGGCCCGGGTCTCAAATGGGACGAAGGCTTTCCTGGTGGGAGGGGAAATAGCCTGTTAAGGTGAGGCTTAGGGAACGCCCGAGGCTGCTGCCCGCCTCATTCCTGTCTGTCAAGGGCTCAGGCACTCTCGTGTTAGTCCAGGATGTCCCCGGGCCCATGTGGCATCAACCAGAGCTGGTGCTGTGGCTTCCACACCCCCTCGAGTGCAAATGCAGGGTCTCGGGGAGAGGGTGGGCTGTGAGGATCCCGCAGGCTGGCCGGGCTCACCGCACCCTTGAGGGAGCAGGCAGCCTCTCAGCCGTGCTGCACAGGCCAGAGCCGGACACTCAGCCCCACGCCCTGCTGCCTAGGCCTGGAGGTGCACCTGGCGGGTTAACACCTGGGAGAAGGGCCTTCCTCAGGAGGCAGGACACCCTCCACCTGGAGCCCAGTGGCGCCTCTGGGGATGCAGGCCCGGTTTCCCAGTGGGTGGGCAGGAGAGGGCTGGCTGGGCCAGGCAGCAGGTATGCCCCGGGGATGCAGGCCTCGTCTTCCAGTGGGCGGGTGGGAGAGGGCTGGGGCGCCTGGGGATGCAGGCCTTGAGGGAGGGGTGCTCCCCCAACTCCGCGGTTGGAAACCCAGCTGCCGAGACTGTGCCCGCTGCACCCTTGGCTTAGCGGAGCCACTGAGCAGGTTTGGAGCCTCGGGCCCCGATCAGGAGCCGCCTGCTCAGGGAGAGGGGCGCAGCCCTCAGAGGCCCCGTGGGAGCCTTGGATGCGGCCCGTTTGCAAGAGCCTGGAGCCTGCCTTGGGGTTCCGGGTTCAGCGGCTCCGTCCTTTCGAGCTGGTGACAGGGGAGGTGGAACTCAAGCCCACCTTCCAGCCCCTTCCTGCACACGGGGAAGTGGGCTTCCAGGCGCACGGTCAGCACGTCGCTGCCCTGGCTCGGGTCTCCGTGTGGCCTCAGTGGTCACTTCAAGCTTGGAACGTGAGTCTGGAAGAGGCCTGATGAGAAACGTCCTGTAGTGTCCCGGCACTTTTCTGCAGAGCGATTCCGTTAGGTCCTTGCTCCACTCACGAAACTCGTGCGGCCAGTGGAGATTTATTGACAGGTGGGCTCCTGGCTGCTTCCTCTCGGCTGTTAGCTGTCTTCAAAGAGGCTCAGGCGGCATCTGCCGCTGCTCCCCTGAAGTCTGCTTTCGGCCATGACACATGGCAGCTTCTCAGGAGACTCTACGTGATTTTGCAGCAGAATTCCAGACGTCTCTCAGCATTTGGCCCCAGCTTGGCAGAGTGACCGATGGGCTGGTGGGACAGCACCAGTCCCCCAGTAAGAGTACAGTGCTGAGGTGGGCGAGACCCTGCGTTTCTGGAGTCCTCAGTCACTCTGAGGTTCTGATGCCCTTTGGTTTCTTATCATTTATTTGTTCCGTGGGAGGAGCTGATTGGACACAGGGGTGCAGGTGGGACTTGCTTCCAGAGCAAGGATGATTAAACTGACCAGATTTGCATAATACTTTGTTATTTTAAAAAGCAGGATTATTGGGGGGAAGGTATAGCTCAGTGGTAGAGTGCGTGCTAAGCACGCACGAGGTCCTGGGTTCAATCCCCAGTACCCCCATTTAAAAGCTGGACCCAGTTACCTCCCCCAACAACAACAACAACAAAAGAATAGAAGTACAAGTCATGGAAAGAGCTGACATGCTGTCCCAGTTAGCCCAGGAGGGAATAATCAAATCCAGTGACCCCAGTTATTAAGTAGAACTGGGGACAGTGAATTGGGGCTCAATCAGACCACTAGCGCTTTGAATGATCGCTTCTGTTTTCATCCGATTAGAAAAGTAGTAGGTGATCGTTGTGGGAATTTAGGAGGCACAGACAAGGGGAAGGAAATCAAAGCCAGCAGCCCCAGCCCTGGGAGGCGACCCCCGGGCCTCAGCTCCGTCTGAGCGTCCGCACCTTCCGCTCTGAAGGAGGCGCTTGAGGGTGTGAGGGCGGTGGCTCCAGGGCTCGGCTTAGCGACAGAATCGTTGGCAGTTCGCTGTGTCGTTACAAGCTCTTCAGTGCCGCTGGGAGGCTGCTGAGTGTTCGGTCACGTGGACAGCCCCGCCTCCTTCACCTTCCCGGGTCAGGCATCTGTAGGCTGTTTCAGGTGTTTTGGAGTGAAGTGGAATTTGTTTTCCTGAGGAGGGCACGGGCTCTGAGCGCTTCACCCATAGACCTGGGTCACATCGGACCTCAGCCGCATCTCCAGACTCCAGGTCAAGGGCCTGCAGATGGAGCCAGGCTGTCCTGGCAGCCGTGGGGCGGGTGGCCGGGCTGGGGACCTGGAGGAGGGCCTGGCCTTGGCGCTCACAGAGCCCTGAGGCCACGGGAACATTCGAGGAGTCAACCTCGAGGTCAATTTGAACGAGCCTGACGGTGTTCCAGATGCTTTGCTGGCGGGACCCCCACGTGGTCGTGAGAGTGGCCCCAGGAGGCAGTGTCCCTCTCACCCCCTCATAGCCAGGCTCTGACAAGTCAGTCTCGACCCCAACCACAGCCCCAGGAGGAGGAGGCCAGGCAGGGAAGCTGAGCCCCTTTCAACAGAAAGGGGACTGAGGTCAGGGAGGGTGGAGGTGCCTTACAGGGACCGCAGTCACAGGGAGCCGGGCAGAGATGCCCACCTCGGGGCTGCCATACACCAGACCCTGCAGTGTGTCCCCTCCAGTGTGTCTCCTTGATGTCCGTGTGGAGCTCCCAGAAGGCCCCTCTGATGGGGAGGTGTTTCCAGCCAAGGGGTCCTCAGGGTCTCTTCATACCAACTCTGCCAGACTTTCCCTAGAACCTCAGACACTTAGACTGGACGAGCAGGTGTGTGTGTATGTGCAAGTGTGTGTGTGTGTGTGTGTGTGAGCACGCGGAGATGTGCAGGGTCTGTGTGCACTGGGTGTGTCTGGAGAAGCTGGCAGCTGTGTGCACCCAGCCATCACTTCCAGAAGCCAGTCCCTTTGTGGGTCAGATGGTCAGAGGTTCTGCCTTCAGCCCCAGCACCTGAATGTCAGGGGCGTGTATTAGCATCATTGCAGGACACCCCAGACTTCCCGGGCAGGCTGTGGGGCTCAGGCAGGGTTGTGGGGTCATGGGGGACTGGCTGTGCTCGGCCCCGGGCCTGCTGTGAGGGCAGAGGTGACCCTTATCTCCCTCCCATTGCAGCCATGAAGTCAGGGGGCACGCAGCTGAAGCTCGTCATGACGTTCCAGAACTACGGACAAGCGCTGTTCAAACCCATGAAGTAAGTGCTGGGTCGGGGGGTTGGGGGTGAGGGGCTGGTGCTGGGAGCTCTTGGGCACTGAGTTTCTGGTGGAAAATGCAGTCTTTCAGAGGTTTTCGGGTGAACCGAGGGGACAAAGGGGGTGACACAGGGTCCTGCACCCTCACCCCCTCCTCCCCAGTCTCCCCTCAGCAAGGACAGGGTTTCAAGCAAGAGCCTGAACACGGACACCAAAGGGTGGCTGCTTTCGGTCTTGCCAGCCAAGCGGTCTGTGTCTCAGCTGCTCGGCCCTGCCCTCCCAGCCAGTGAGGCTTTGTCCCTAAAACCAGCGGCCTGGCTGCTGTGACCTCTGACCGCAGCTTGCCCTGTCCTTGGCAGAATAGAAACTGTGCTACCAAAGTCAACATTAAAGGCCCAGTGGCATCGGGGGCTCTGAGGGTGGGGCAGCAGGGACGTCTGGAAGACCGACCACCCTGGAAATGCACAGCGAGCCCCTGAGGTCCGTGAGTCCACCCTGCTGGGCCTGGGGCTCGGCTGTCCCACGAGGGCCAAGGCGGCTTCCCGTCGCTGGCTAGTTTCACACAAGGCCGGTTTTGCCCTGGTGGGAGGGCTCACCGTGTGTGAAGCCTGGGTTGCACCCCCAGTGTCTGTGAGGCCACTCGAGTCACGTGAGGCTGCTGGGCTGGGTGTGGACTGTCAAAGCTGCGGGGCACGGATCCGCCTGGGGGCAGCTGTCTATTCATTTGGCAGATCCTGTCCATCTGCCCTGATGTCTGACTCTCAAGATAGATAGTTTAGAAATACAGAATTTTTTTCTGCCTAGTCTTTAAATTTTGAAAATGATGGTAACTAATTCAGAAGCATTTCAGATGCTTTGCGGGTCAAACCAGGCGTGAGTGCTAGTTTGCTGCTGAACTTGAGAGCGTGTTTTTGTGCTGCGCCTCAGTTTCAGGGCCTCTTGCTCCCACTCCTCCGGACAGATGTCCTGCAGGGACTCCGCAGGGGACCGCGGCCCTGCCCGGCTGCCCCAAGGCCGCTTGACCCGCGCTGATCCAGAGCTGCCTGGCGCAGTGGGGCTGAGAGCACTGTGCGCAGAGGCCAGAGGGGACTGTCCACAGGGACCAAGGAGACCGGGAGAGCAGAGCTGGGGGCTGCTGGGGGGGTGGGAAACAGCCAAGCACTGAGGCCAGTGTCTGTGTTGGGGTCCGTGAGCACAGGCCTCCCTCCCCGCATCTGTGTGGAGGGAGTTCACGTCTCCCTGATGAGCGTCCATAGTGGGCTGGGCTGTCTCGGGAAGACGCTGGACACTGGAGCTGCCTGCTTAGTACTGTGACCAGGGAGGACAGCCAGCCTGGTTCACAGCTCCTCTCAGGAGGGTTGATTTGGGCCGGGTGAGACCCAGGCCCCGCGTGGGCTCCTTGGGGAGCATTCTGGAGGGGTGGGGGCTCCTCTGGAACTTTCCGGCCACCCTGGGGTCCTTTGCGCCTTCTCAGTCTGGAGCTTGAGTAGAGGAGCTACTTCCTGGCCCCTTGATGTCAGGTGGTGTGTGTGGAGCCATGCGGGGAGGAGGTTGCGCCAAGTGGGGTCGGCCGTGGGTGCTTGTTGGCGGCCAGGTGACAGGTGGGCCTGGCCCCTCCCTGGCAGGTGTGGAATTGGACAATAGCACGGTCCTTGCCACCCCTCTAGCCTCACTTTGGCACGCAGGCCCCTCATCTGGGTGGTGTGTCCTCTGGAGTCCAGCAGGACGTGTCCAGATGCACCCGGAGCCACGGGGTGAGGTCCCTGGCCCCGGTGGTGCAGGCAGGACCCTCTGCAGATGCCCTGAGTTGGGGTTTGAGCCACGGGGACTCAGGCTGGTGCGTTTGGAGGCTTCTGTTCTGGGCTCCACGCCCTTCTGGCCTCTCCGTCGAGGTCACTCTCGCCTTGGAAGAGTTGCTGATCCAGCTGCGGTCTGTAACAACATCCATGGTGTCTTACTGTGTATGCAGGCGCCTCGACCACCAGTGCCCTGGGCCATGTGCCATGCCGAGGGGTCACGCCGTGCTGTCTAGTCGTGGAACTCCTGGGAGTTAGAGGCACTCCCACCATCATGATTCTGCCGCTTCTGGGTGCGGGAACCAGGGCGTGGCGGGTAGTGTGGACTGCCCGGGGTTGAACCCAAACCTGCAGAGCCCCGAGCCAAGGTGGCCAATCTCCCTGCCACGGTGTGGCCGTCACCACCGTGGTCACAGGAGGAGCTGAGTCCGGAGGTCACCCGCCTATGATCTGGCAGCTTGAGGCAGCCGGACTCCAGGGGCCCCTTGGGAAGCCCACATTGGCCCCCTTCTCCCACGGGCTCTCCGCTGGCGGCCTGTCTGCAGTGGGAAGGACATCGGGCTCCTGTCTGAAGGCTGAGCAGGGTGGACGGCCTGGGGTAGGCTTGTGACCAGGGGGCTGGGTTGGGAGGCTGAGGCCAGGAAAGGAAACGACGTGCTCACAGCCTGCCCGCCCGACAGCAGCCGCCTCCTTCCCCTGCGCAGGGCGTGTCCTGGGCAGAGGACCCTGGCTGGGCAGGGTGGGCACAGGCAGGCTTTACAGACGGCCGACCTCGTGCCTCCGGCCGGCACTCCCAGTACTCCTCCTGGTCTAGTCCAAGCATGTCTCAGCGCCCGCGTCCCTCCTGTGCTGACCAGGCCCTGAGTCAGGCACCCACTGTGGTCTGCTTGCCAGCAGGCCCCGGGGGACAGGGCTTGTCCACGTGTTCCTGCCCCCCATGGCTGTGGTCTAAACATCAAAGCAGCTGTGGTTTGTGACCACAGCATTAAAGAAATTAAAATCCATGATTAACAGTTCTGTTCAAGGAGAACTTGCTTCTACGAGCTCGTCATAGCTTTGCAAGTTGAATATTCTGAGTTACTTCGGTGGTGGCATTTTTCACCGAAATCTCCACCTAGAGGGAGCAGTGATGGCATGGGAGGCGTTGCCCTCGGGGGCGCTGCAACGTGTAATTTACGTGAGACCACTGGAAGTTTGATGGGCATATGTTTTTGACAAGCAGTGGAACATGCAACTAGCACCTGAGCCCTGACTTCCTCGGTACTCTTGTTTTAGGGTTAAAGTAAGTAAGGTTTTTCAACAGCTTTATCAGGATGTAATTCGCATTGTAGTTGGTTCAGCCGCTCAATGCCTGCAGTTGAGTAGCTTTCAGTGTGTCCACGGAGTTGTGCACCCAGCACCACAATTTCAGAGCCTTTTCATCAGCCCACAAAGAGCCCTTGTGCGGTGTTGCCCTCACCCCCAGGACTCCCGCCTCGCTCTCCTCCTAGCCCGAACAGCCACTGGTCTACTCTGGCTCTGTGGACTTGCCAATCCAAGAATTTCACGTTAATAGAGTCGTACACTCTCCAGCGCCTCTCACTGAGCACCGTGTGTGCGTGGTTCATCCACGCTGTGGCATTCCTTTTTACGGCCAGTGGCTACTCCGTGGTATGGATGGACCACGGGCTATTTGTGCTTTCATCTGTTCCTAGGCGTCTGGGCTCTTTCCACCTTCTGGATGCGTGAACACTTACGCACAGGGTTCTGTGTGGTCACGTGTTTCCATTTCTCTTGCGTGTGGGCCTGTGAGTGGAATTGCTGGGTCGAGTGATGACTGAACACAGCTGTCTGGGGAGCTGTGGCTACAGGCCGTCGTGGTCCCCCCGCAGCCTCCGCGTGCTGGTCGGTGCTCGTTGCTCTCGGTCTCTCTGGTCCTAGCCGTCCAGCGGGTGTGAGACGGTGTCTCCCTGTGCTCCTGACGCAGTTCCCTGCTGACTCATGATGTCGGGTATCTTTTCATGTCCTTCTTTGGAGAAATGTCTGTTCAGATCTTGTGTTATTGCTTAGTTGGTTGTCTTTTTGCTCGTAAGTTGTAAGCGTTCTTTATGTATTCTGGATACAAGACCCGTATCACATATGTGGTGTCCTCTGAAACACAAGTTTTCATTTTGAGGATGTTGGACCCGAATATTATTTTGTAGCTTGTGCTTTTGGTGTAGTACTTAATTTTGTTTAACATTTTTTTTAATTGAATTATAGTCATTTTACAATGTTGTGTCAAATCCCAGTGTAGAGCACGGTTTTTCAGGTATACATGAACATACATATATTCATTGTCGCTGTGAGCCACCACAAGATCTTGTATTTATTTCCCTGTGCTGTACGGCATAGTCTTGTTTATCTGTTCTGCATATGCCTGTCACTATCTACAAATTTTGAACTCCAGGTCTGTTTTTAATATTGAGAAATGTGTGTGCTGGGTAATAGGGGTGCAGGTGATCCGTGCAGCTGAAGTTTGGAAGCACCGGGGTGTCCGCAGGGCCAGCAGGCCTGGCGTGGTCATCCTTGTTTGATATCCAGTAAATCCCTTCCCTCCCTGGGACTCGGTTTGCCCATCTGTCGACGAGGGCTTTGTAGGTCTAAACTCCAGTGGATTGGTCTAGGGGACAGGGCACCAAGTTTATAAGAGGAAGCTGAGAGTTGCTGGTGGTTGGCAAGGCAGGTGGGGCTGGGCAGACACACCGGAGCATACAGGCTCTTGGCAACAAATTTCAACCTGCTTCTTGGAAAGGAGGCTTCCCGGCGCTCATGACGCTGGCCGTGACTACCTCCCAGCGGAAATATGCCTCAGCCTCCTGTCAGCACCGAGCCCGGCCTGGCCGTGTGCCGGGCGGGGGTACAGGCGTGACTCAGCCCCAGCGGTCCTGCCACTGAGGGCGGGACAGAGAGCAGCGTGCGTGGGGGCGCAGGGCCTGGTCCTCCACGGATTCTGCAGAACAAGCCAGGATGCCCGTGTGAGACAGCACCCTCAGTCCAGCGTGACCAGCCTGTGAGCACTCGAGGCGGCCGGAAGCTTTCTCAGACGTGACCTCCAGCTGAGGCCTGAGCATGCGTGTGAAGTCCCCAGGCCAGGGGACCAGCCTGGAGGAGGCAGCACATTCTGGGACCGGGCAGCTTCCGCCGGCGAGAGGCCACTCCGCGCAGTACCCTCTGCTGTGCAGAGG